TACTCATCAAATAGTGCTTACTTGCTGACATGTGTTTCTCCTTCGCCGCGCAATGCCTTCTCAATAAGAACACCGCGCGCCTCCAGCTCCCTCAATTGCACTTCGATCTCTTCCTGTTCACGCTGAATCTCCTGAGCGATTCTGAGTCGCTTGAGCTCAGCTTGTCGAACAGCCTTCGATATGGCACGCTGCCGCTTCTGTTCACGCGTCTCGGTAGCGTTACTCTCATCTTAAAGGTAGTGAAAAATAATACTTATTTATCATTTATAAAATACTAAGACAATGAAATAGTAGAGGAAAAATCAGTCAAAGATTTACCAACGATCTACTTTTTTTGATAATGATCGAAACCAAAGAAAAGTGTAGTCAAGAAAGAGGAAAAGTGTAAAATAAACCAACCAACCATCGGATCTCTGGTAATTGAGTGGCAAAGGCGGAATAGGCGGCGGAACGGGCTCATCGGTGTCATGGCTCGCAACATAATTCGGTCTGTGGATAAACAATTGTGGGCTAGATGATGAGAGCGCTGCTATTGCTGACTTTTTTGTGGCGCTTTTTACTGGTGTAGTGTTCAAATTTTTATGGGTATTTGATGAGCTCGTATTTGAAATACTTGCGCTGTTGTTTAGCTGGGCGTCAAAGAGGGAACCATCCTTGTCCTAATGGTGTGTTTGTTTGATTTTGAATTTTGTTTTTGTTTGTGTTTTATTTAACATTTTTTTGCAAGCATTGTGTTTTATAAGTATTGAAGGTTTGTAGAATGTTTTATATTTGTATGCATGTATTATGTTTTATAAATTGTATGCATGTATTTATATTGTCATTATTTATACCCATGCATTTATTTTTTTCATTATTGTTTTCAAGCAGTGCGCGCGCGTAGTTATGAGGCAGCAGCATTGTCCGCGGCGTGGAAAAAGATATGATGAATTTAGATTTTAGTAATACATATGCATATATGTACGTACATATGTATGTGTGTATACATGAACAAGCTAGCATCAGCTGGCTCCAAGCAAAACAAGAATAAAGAAAACGTTGGCGATAATACTTAAATATATGTATATACATTGGCGATCAAAAGTGGATGAACGGGGTTTTTTTGATATTTGCAATGTTTTTCAAGCTAAAATTTGTTGGCGAATTTTTTATAGCAATATTCATGCATTAACCAAAACCATAAAATCAAATTTTAAACTATACATAATTTAGAAAAATTCAAAAAACTTTCATCCAAATTTTGAAATTTTTTATCTGAAATGTTAGAAAATTTCTGGGTATGCTTATGAAATTTTAATAAAATATTTCTTTTGTTGGCGGAAGAAAATGCTCAATAAAATGCACTTTTATATGAAAAACAGCGAAAGCCGTCAGCAAAAAGAGAAATATAAAAAAAGATGCGATTTGTTAGCCGCTTAGTCATTTTATTATACAAAAATTTAACAGGCTTGCATACCCAAAAAATTTCTATAGATTCAGATTAGAGGGCGTAACGCCTCGTAAGAACGTAAACCTCGTAAAATTGCTTAATTTTGTATGGAAAACCGATTTATTTACGAGGTTTATGCGTCTGCGCGGCATTTACGCGTTTAGATGAATACCCCTAATAACAAACAAAAAATTTAGCTGGAATAGCATTGTAAATATTAAAAAAAGAAAGAACCTTCATACAGTTTTGACCACCAGTGTACATATGGTATGTATAAAACATAAGTGAGAACATATGTATATTTACATGCGTCAAACTTGAAATAAAAGCATACAAATATCTATTATGTACTAGATACGTTTGAATGTATATTCTTCTTCCACCAATAAAGAACTAATGATAAACATCTATAATAAACTACACTGAGAAAAAAAACGCGTTGTAAGAATAAAAAAATTTTATTTGATTACCATTTAAAAATGCTCGCATTTAAATCAAGTGAAAAGTGTTAACAAAATGGATTTTTCCATTATACATACACTACTTATAATGGAAATATTCAATTCAAATACGCCCGTATTAAACTGGAGCATGGATGGTGTTTTGCACGTTTCGGATGCTTTTTCATATGTAATTAAGAAAGTATATGTATACAAAGCATGCATGCACAGCGGTAACAAAAACACATACACACATATACACATGCATGGTACATGTTTATGTGTACAAATGCACTAATCGCGCGCTGTGATTTTGATTCAAACTCAACATTTGAAAACACATTCACATGTATGGCTGTAGATGAGTGCGCAAAGACGTTTGATACAATGGATTGCTGCCAAAAGGGTCCGGGTTCAATTACCATCAGACGGACTCAAAAAATTATTTTTTTCTTTTAAATTCTTTTCTTTCTTAATTGTGAAAAAGCATCTGTGCACTTCACAACGACGTCTTTTATAACGTACTCAAATTTAAAACGAGTTGGGTTGGTGATCTTTCATATGCGTATTTTTTTGAATTTAGTACGTTTTTATACCTTTCATAAGCATGAAATGGTATTATAAGTTTAGTCCGATGTTTTAAGTATCAGAATAAAAAGAGATACACCCATTAAAATGTATACTTATATGATCAGAACGACGAGCTGAGTCGATTTAGCCATGTCCGTCTGTCCGTCTGTTTGTATGCAATCTAGTCTCTCAGTTTTCGAGATATCCGGATAAAATTTGGTAGGTGCGTGTATTTTTATAATGTATTAATCATTTGTCGGAACCGGAAGAATCGGACCACTATAACATATAGCTCCCATACAACTGATTGTTCAGATACGAGATTTTTCGTTATAACTTTTCCATTTATGCAGCTAGGAACATGAAATTTTGCAGTACTTGCACCCATTATCAACAGAATACTTATAGTGAAAATTACAAATATCGGGTCACTATAACCTATAGCTCCCATACAACTGATTGTTCAGATATAAAATTTTTCGTTATAACTCCTACATTTATATAGCTAGGAACATGAAATTCCGCACTGTTTTCAATAATTATCAACAGAAAACTTACAGTGAAAATTAAAAAGATGGGGTAACTATAACCTATAGCTCCCATACAACTGATTGTTCAGATATGAGATTTTTCGTTATAACTCCTACATTTATGTAGCTACGACCATGAAATTTCCCGCTGTTTTCACTCATTATCAACAGAAGACTTACAGTCAAAATAACAAAGATCGGGTCACTATAACCTGCAGAACCCATACAACTGATTGTTCAGATATGAGGTCTTTTATCATAACTCCTCCATTTATGCAGCTAGGAACATGAAATTTCGCACCATTTTCACTCATTATTACCAGAATACATACAGTGAAAATAACAAGGATCAGATGACTACAACATATATCTTCAATACATCTGATTGTTCAGATATGGGATTTTACTGTAAAACTTCTTTATTTGAACAGCTAAAACCGATAAATTTCGTAAGATATTTTATAAATAATAATACAAAGTCTACTGAGAAAATTATCAAAATCTATGCTGTATAAGCTTTATCTCCTATAGCACTGATTGTTCAGATACCAGTTTTTGCCATATATCTCCTTTATGTAGGAAACTAAACCCAATAAATTGTTACCGGTTTACATACCGATCACATAGCAGTGAAAATCACTTAGATTGGCGCTAATATAAGGTATATCTTCCATACCTCTGATTGTTTAGATGTGATTTTTTATATAAGTATGTAACTCCTCTATCGATGTATGCAGATGTATTCAAAAGCAGTAATCTGTTAAAGTAAAATTTGCAGATGTTCATGAAAGGTATAAACCCTTCGGCATAGCCGAAGACAGCGCTGCTCTTACTTGTTTTTAATTCTAAAATTTTTTCCCTCAGTGTACATGTAAATCCTCCGTGCCAGCACTTTAGGAAAAACGTCCCATAAATGCTTGTTCATATGTACGTATGCAAGTAGGTGATGTATGAAGTATTAAAGAATATTATAAAACCCTTTTTTTTTAATTTGCATGTCTATTTATCCAAGTTTTTGTTGCTGTTCTTGTAGCGGCTTACTTAGCGCTGCCTAAATCGGCTTGTCCCTCAATCATTGCCGTCCAGATCAACTAACGGGAGACCCAGGAAGTGCGCCACTCCGACTGGATCGGACCAGATTGAGAGGGGCGTTAGTAGAGTAGGGTTTGGGAGCATGCGAAGATGTGTTGCGAGTCGATAGGTCACCCTTCGCATGCCGGTCACTCATTGAGCACATCTGCATTTATCCTACTCAGGAAGGAAATTAGCCTGCTGCGGTATCCAGAGCAGCGTTGGATTATTGTGGTGCGAATCTCCCGGGACGAAGTTCCGTCCCGTCCAAGTCTGGTGCTATATTTTCAAAATGGCATTCACAGGTCGGAAGTGGTGTAAGTCGAGACCGACCCCCCTGTGAATGCCGTTTAGAGCCTGGCGGTACGCTTTCGGGTCCGCTGTTTTATGTACTAAGCGAGGGCCCAGCAGTAAGCAGATGTCTGTTCGGTTGCCCACGTCTGTGGCGCCCTACTAGGAACTGCTTACATAGCATTGTGTTGTGCTCTTTGATGGGGAGCATTTGGGACTCGTCATGTATGCAGGTCGGTAGCTTCGTCTATTGCGTCCTGCTAGTCCCCCGCGACCACACGGGCGCTGCATAATATAAAACCGGCCGTCCAATTGTCTGGTATATTTCCAAAACCTTTATTATTCTTTGTCCCGGGTGATGCCGGCTGGCTACTTATGGACCTTGTTCCGGCTCTGTACTTTGTTGACAACTGCGGTTGCATGCGCCGAAAAAGAGAAGAGACTATCGAAGGTAACTCCGAGTATTTCGACCACTTAGATAATTCGCTAACCACCGTTTGAGTCCCTGTATGAGAGAGAAAGGTTCATTATCTTCTGGTAGCTAGGAGTGGCTGACGGTTTCAAAGGCCTTTGACAGATCCTACTCTACTAGAACTCTTCTCTCACAGGGCGGTTTCGGTTCCGGCCACGAATTATCTGAGCGTTTATGGCGTTAAGTGCTGTTGTTGTGCTGTGGTCAGGTGTTACGTATAGCGTGGGAGTAGCAAGTGAAATCGGGGATTGTACAAAAACGTCGTGCCGTGTTTGGGCATGGTAATATCAGGTAATAGCAGGAGTTAGTGTGGGGCATGTACCAGCTTTTAAGCAGAATGTGGCCGGATGAATACATGCACGAAGAGAAGCTGCCTGTACGACGCCGAACCTAAATTTGGGACCCCCGCAAATCTTATACGGCTATGTAGGATGACGTTGAGGGCAACCTTCAGCTCTGCCCAAATTGGGAAGGACCTGACGGCACTGTTTAAGACCAAACTAAGCGTAATAAGAGCTGCCAATCTGAATCGTAGCGGAACCATATATAGCAAAGGAACGCTGTTGCTGGCGAATGCGGATGATAGAAAAAGAAGCTAAAGAGGTTGGTCTAGCGGTGAATGAAGATAAACAAAGCACCTCTTGGTAACATATAAAGAGTCCACAAGTTTTGGCAACACGTCACTGTTGGCAACTATAACTTTGAGGTAGTGAAGGACTTTATCTACCTAGGATCCAGCATAAACTCCCCCAACAACGTCAGCTTGGAGACCAAGCGAAGAATAACTATTGCCAACAGGCGCTACTTTGAGCTCGGTCAGCAAATGAAAAGTAGAGCCCTCTTTCGACGAACACAA